CTAACTGAGCATGCACCATGACAACAACAAGCAATTAGCTAGACAGCCTCCTGTTAGCTCTGCCACTGGCTGACACTGCCGTGTGTTGTGCTGATGTGAGCCAAAATGTTACTTTACTCAGTTCACTGCTGTGGCTCACTCATTACTGTACACGTAGTGGCAGTCTATGCATTGTGCTGACACTCAATACTGACGTATGTGTTTGAAAAAAAAAATAGGCTTACGTGTTTGAAAGGGGCCAGGTCAGAGGTTGGACCAACCTGAGACCCTGCCATTGGTCTGTAAAGAAAATGAATCAATAAATTTTTAAACACTGTATTTAAATCAAAAGAAAAAAAATCAGTGCTAAATTTGTGCATGTTTGTGCAGTACTGTGTTAATAACAGCAGGGAAAGATAGTGATGTGTAGATCGATACTGAAATATCGATATTACCGATACCAGAACTTTATACTCTAGAATCGATACTAAAATCAAAATATAGGTACTTCAGTTATTTTACATAATGTATATCAACAGGAAAATAGTGGAAAATAACTAAGCTGTTCAAATCTTGTTTAAATCACATGTGGTTGGAGGGAACTACTTTTTCTTCTGCTTGGGTAATGCATAAGCACAGTGGCCTGTGCTTAGTCAGTCACTCAGTCTAGATGTATGGCAGGTCGTTTTAACATAAATCTGCTTCGTCTGACTGTAATTACATTTTAGATGAGAGGTTCCAAAACCTTTTCAWGCCATGTCCCCCCAAACAGCAGTAGTTATGGCCAAGGACCTTCTTGCAAAACCCACAATCAAACAATGCTACAAAATATACAAAGTAACAACTTTTACAATATTTTTCTCACTTTTGTTCACTATTCAAAAATTATTATATTTCTTTAGAATAAGAATTTTAAATTGTGCTAAACAAATATAGGGTTAGAGTTAGAGACTTTTAAATTAATAAATATAGTACTATGTCATGTTTTATTTATAAAGTGGTTGTTTGAAAAACGCTACTTTTTAAGAATTACCAGACACATTATGTGTGTTATCACAAGGTATCAGTATCGCATCATCACCGATACCAGGGAAATTTTACTCGGTATCAGTATCAGAAAGAAGGCAGTATCGAACATCGCTAGGGAAAGATTTCATTCAGAATAATCTACAACCTGATTTCTGACAGTGTGTTCATGTGTTGCCTTGTAATTTTCATGCCATGATGGAGTTACTAAGCAATGGYACAACTGAATTCAAGGAAGAAGTCAGTAAATCCAGTAAAGGACCTTCAAAACTCGGAGACTGAAATGTATGATGTATGTGATGCTAAAAACTAGGGGAGCACCAATAAACTGGCCAGTTGAAACCAGCCCTGGTTTCCTTAATTTTTTGGTGATCGACCAATATTACATGAGAAGCTGATCTTATCTGCCTTCACAAAGGTCTGAAAATCAGCCACTGTCCCCTTTTGCTGTGCTGTGAGAGGGGGCTGACTGACAGACCTGCCCACCAGGTCACGTCAGTACATGTGTTGTTAACAATAATCACAGGATAGTTAGTTTGAACTTTGAACAGCAATGCTCCAAACTTTTCTTTTATACTTCAGAGCACTACCTCATGTCCAGTTAAAACAATTTGTATTATTTTATGAGTGCTGTTCAACGTTTTCCAATAAAATAAAATAGGAACAGTGCATTGTGGTGTATTGTGACCTTTAGAACACCTGACAGTGTCAGTTATATATAAAAAAAGATGGCATCGGACAAAATTGGAATCGGCAGCTCAGGCTTTTTAAAGATCGGTTATCAACCAGAAACTGCATCTGCTATATAAACAGTGACAGAATCACAGAATGTAACAAATAACTAAAACTAACAGAGTCACTTCAAAAACAGAGAAGAAACAAGCTAGCCTGTATACAGCGGGTAAAATAAGTATTGAACACGTCACCATTTTTCTCAGTAAATATATTACTAGAGGTGMTAATGACATGAAATTTTCACCAGATGT